CATTGGAGAAGATTATTAGGCATTCAAGACCCCTTCAAAGGAAGATTCCTCCATGGAATTCAAGACCCATCTCTCCAAGAGATTTGGATGAACTATCTTGTATCTTTATTTCCCTTGTTGTCTTTGGATCTTGATGCACCTCTTGTATTGCTTGTGATTTGAGGAGTACTTGGAGTGAATTTTGTCCATTAGAGTGTTCTTGTGTTCTCCCCTTGTGTTCTTGGTGTCCTTCCTCAAATCCACCTCCAATTCGTGAACATCAGGCCACCTAATGGGAGGTGGATTTGAGGAAGAACACCAAAACACAAGGGGAAAACATAAGAACACGACGTACTCCTCAAAGCACAAGTAATACAAGAGGTGCATCAAAATCGAAAGACGACAAGGGAAATAAAGATACAAGATAGTTCATCCAAATCTCAGGAGAGATGGGTCTTGAATTCCATGGAGGAATCTTTCCTTGAAGGGGTCTTGAATGCCTAAGGATCTTCTCCAATGGATGTCGTGAACTCCAATGGAGTCTTCTCTCTCTCAGGAGGAATCCCACAAGGGGAGATACATGAGTTAAGCTCTAATGTCTAGGTCTATTCTTAGCTATCCCTAAATGGAGGAATATATATGGTCCAAGACATGAAGGGGTAAGGAGGGGCGAAATGGGAATACAGGGGCAAAGCCCAACAGCTGCACACAGGCAGCCCCGTGTGCACGGGGTAAGTGAAGCCCTTGCGCACGGGGTATCCAGCAGCTTGACGACTTAGCCCGTGCACACGGGCTTGTATCGTGGGCACGGGGTCTTGGGCCCGTGCGCATAGAGTATGTCCAGCGGAGTCTGGTAGCTCTTTGGAGGGGTCGTGCACACGGATCAGGAGGGGTCGTGCGCACGGGGTCGCCTGGGCGCGTTTTCTTCCTTCGTGTTGTTGGCTTCCGACTTTCTCGAGATCTTCCCGTCGATGTTGGTGTAACTTGGCCTTCCTCTTGACGGTTCCTTCTCCGCTTCCAAGCTTCCTTCTTGGATGGTGTAGTCGTTCCCTTACGCTTGCACTCCTCCTCGTCGTCCATGAAGTTCCGACAATACCTATTTATGCACACGAGAGGGGTGTCAAGTAGTATACGATCCTCGAAGGGGTCAAGTAAACACACGTGAAGGAGATGATTCACCTTTATGTATGCCAAACGGACTCTTGACATGGTGATGCCCGTAGGATGATCCGGATGAAAACCTCTCTCCGTCCTATTCTCCTTCAACTAGGAGCTGATCAGACTCCAGTTAATTTCACTCATGGTAGATACTTATTGACGATCTCCAAACCTTCGACAAACTTCTTCGCGAACCACAACTACTCTTGGTTGCTGAAGACTTTGCTTGGTGAAGACAATTACTCTTCGTCACTCAAGCTGACACCTATCGGTCTAGAGAGTGCGCAGCTCTAAGTGTAATAGGTACAAGAACCCTAACTCAGAACTACTGTGATACACAACTACTATTTCGGTTCTTGGTTTTCTCTTGGTGGATTTTAAACCCAAATTTCTTGGAGAGGGGATGCTTAATCAATCTTCTCATAAATCTTAAGCAGAACAGCCAACGGACAATGTTGGAGCGGGGTGGCTATTTATAGCCGCAGCTTTCCCTAATGGAAATTGACCAAATTGGACATGCGGATCAACCAATGGCCGAACGACACGATTCCATCGGTCGGAATTTGAGCACAACGGTAACATTCATTGCGGAGCAAGAAATGCTAACTCCTCAGTCCGAAAGATATCTCATGCAGCACCGAAGAATAACGTCTTCTGTTGACAGGTAAACATTCGAGAATGTGGATCTTCACGTTGCATTGCAACATGTATATGGCACAGGCACACTCACTCGCTAACCACAGATCTTCTTTATGGCGGGAAGAAGTCTATTAACCAAATAATCATGGCTTACATCCCGTGTCAGTGCCAGCAGAACCTTGTTCAGCATTGATCCCACCTCACATCTTTCACTACTTTTCGCCAGCTTTTCATACGAGAAAGACCAAATGCCTAAATTCCAACAAACGTCATGATACAATCAATGTCATATCGACCCTGCTACTACTACCAAGACCTTAGATTTCTCAATAAAACCTTAGCTCTGCTCACCGCGATAGGGATCAGCCACATCTAGTGCCCAGTTATAATCTAAGTACGACAAGTGCGGTACAATCAATTTTGATCAATGTGTATGAAACTTTACATTCCTTTGAATACAGGCTCTTCTGTAATGCTATGCAACATCGATAAACAAATTTGGATCCTGCCTAACTTGTTCTCTCGGTCAACATGGACTTGATGGCATTGATGTGACACATGAGCCTTCCTTCCTTTAATCTTTGCCACAAGGTATTATTTGCCATATGTAGCTTGTTACGAACATATTTGAAAGTTGTTTTCTTGCTCAACTCTACTTCCTTAACAACATCTGAACTAAACTCTATCCTCTTAACCATAACTCTTAGCTCGTTTGCTTGTGACTCCGTGTATTCCACCTTCTTCCTTTTGTCCCATTCATATGTTGTACACCATATGCAAGGAACGATCATTGCTTGAGCCACTTCCAAACAATTTTTTTGGAAGTACAACTCCCATTGAGCCGGCGGCGATAGCATGCCATGATTCTTTATAATCCTTTATCAATTGGAAAGCGTGGGTATTTCACTAATTATGTGTAGTCCTCCACTTGACTAGTGTCATTAAGTGAAGAAGTCAAGCAATAACTTCATTTCCTTTTCGGGGCCACAAGTTAGTATTCCCCTAGATGGTCTGTGCATTGCTGGAAATGGTGAGATCATCAATTGTGCCAACATATGGCGTGGCATCATGGCTAACGGCATGTAAGTCGTACCAGCGTTCAAGACCCCAGTGGTAAAACCAATTACCGCAAGTATCTTATGATCCTTGCCGAATTCAGTTTTCCAAAAGTAGATTGGGTTGAATTTTAATATTATAATAACTAAAATTTTGAAACTATCTTCGGAATATATATGTCCAAATCAAGCATTCAATCAAATGTGAAATATAAAAGGGATGGTGAGTACTAAGAAGAGAAACCAAACTCAAAAAGTTGACTTTTTTGACAATAGGGCTGAACCCATTCATGGCTACCCGCTACCATAAGGAAAACAATAAGTAGAACAAAATGTTGCTCATGAGTAAAACATGGTATAAACTATATAAGTTTGCTACTGTAAACCATAATTTCTTCATTTGACATTATCTTGACTTCACCGCCGGTATAGTAACTACTCTTACAAAAGTAAATTCTAATCTGAAAACATCAATCTTACGTATGCTATTTTAATCTACTCATTGAGATCCAGGTAAGAGCTTACCAGTTTCCATTTGAGAGGCTTCCTTTGCAGCGATAACCCAAGTTGATTTATCAGTATTGAAGCAACAAGCAAGCCCATCTCTCTCAAAAAGTTCAACTCGTCTCCTCCACCATCAGCATCCACTACTACCTTAAATCTTCAAACCGTAAACTTTACTAACTCTCAATGTGACCATCCCATAAATATGTTTATGGTACTTGATTCCTCATAGGTGTAGCTCCTTTGGGTTCATGGTACTCCAACAGTATAATAGTTCTTGAACTACTAACTGCCCCTTTTTCCATTTGACGAGGAAGCGTGAGAACCCTACACAAGGGTTATTGCAATATTACAAGTCACGGGTAATGGTTGTAAGGCAATGTACAACAGATTCTAAAAGAGAAGGTCGCTTATTCTTAGGATCCTAAAAACAGTGCAATGAAACTAGGGTTTTTATCATTTATGCCACTAGTTGTGTCCCACTACTCAGTTTTGCCACTAGGAGTTTCAACTGCTCAAAAATGACATCGTTGCATTAGGCGCATGCTCAAAAATGCCACTAGACACCATTACTGTCAGCTCAAAGCTCGTTTACCATGTTATATGACCAAAATAACCATGGACCAAAATGTCAGCTCTCCCTCTATCTCACTATGATAGTGTGGGTCCCACTCGACCCCCAACAACGTTCTTATTTTCCTCTAAAATTATTTGCTTGCTTACTCATGACAAGTGGGGCCCACACTTATCATTGTGAAATAGAGAGAGCTGACATGTGGGTCTAGGGGTATTTTGGTCATATAACACGGTCAACGGGTTCGACCTGACAGTAACGGTGTCTAATGATATTTTTGAGCAAGCATCTAACGGAAGGATGGCATTTTTTAGGTGTCTAATGGCATTTTTGAGCAAGCATCTCACAAAACGATGGCATTTTTTAGCAGTTGTAACTTCTACCGGCAAAACTTAGTGGGACACAACTAGTGGCATAAATGATAAAAACCCATGAAACTAATCATACCAATATAATCAAGCTGGACAGAAAAAACTAGCTTTTTACTCACTACCAGCCCTATGAAGATCAAATGCAGACAACATTGATGTTCAAGTAGCAGATCTTTCATTAAATGGATGTATCAAACCCAAGACCACATCAAGACACAAACAAAGAACATTTGTACCAAGTACCTACTAACTACCCAGACTAATAATTTCAAGTATAATACTCCTGAATATTCTACCGCTCTTTTTCTACCTGATTCCGAGCATTGAAGCGCTGTTTAATTCCTATTGCAACCTATCTGAGGGCAAGCTTTTCAATTGAGTATGAATATTAAGCTCTGCATCTAAGGGCATGTTTGGCTGCCATCCATAAATTATCTCACTTTTGTGCCACAGGTATGGCAAGTGGCAGTTTTGTGGCGATCAAATTGGTCACCACACTTGTGGCAAAACTTGGGTAAATAAAGGTCTATGATAGGTGGGGTATAAATACAATGTTAGACAAGTGTGGCACGCCACAAATGTGGCTGCTACCAAACGTTTCTTGCACCTGCCAAACATTTGGAAGAGTGAAAAGAAAATATGACATAAGTTTTTAGGGTAGCGAGATCTTCTCAAACCTTCATCACGGAATATGAGATGTCAATTGAGGAAGAAGGCAATTCAATCGGTATCTGAGCTAGTTGTGAGGTCATCCACATCAGAGTCTTCATTACTGATTTGCTCAGAAATAGCCCCTTCACGCTTCTTAAATAAAGCAACATGCTTCTGGTAATCTTCAAGCTCCTGTTCCAGCTGCTCAATAAATTTACTGGTATGTTCAAGAGACTGTTCATACCTATATTTCTCCAAGGCCTGTGGACATGGAGTATAGATACATGATGTCAATTCAACTGAACCAACTGAACGATAGTATGCTCAGATAGAAAAAGAGTACCATGAGAACAAGCAGATTTGTCGGTATAGGACTACTGATGATTACCTTCTGCTTAGAAAGAGTATCAGGAGGTGACATAACCTTTGGCTGCACATAATTCTTTCCACGATAAAAGATAATGGTATTATTAGGTTTAATATCAATAACTGTCCCTTTGCTGAGCCTCGCCAACTCCTCTGCGTACTCATACACTTGCCCAGGTCGACAGGGCTTGCAGACTACTTGCATAGTCTCATGCTTCTTCCAGTGGAGGTGCATGTTGAGAACCACACCACCAAACACCCCTCTCCTCCCAACAGGAACATAGTTCTTTTTCTTCTCCCCAGTCCGTTTCAGATAGAACTTCTCCTCCTCGGTCAGAATCTCAGGGTCATGAACCGGCTCCGGAGCCCTCGGGGCCTCGTACTTCCTGAGTTTCTCAATCAGCCATTCTTCTTTCCTCTTGGCCTGAATTCACATGAGAAATTGACAATGCAGCATTTTCAGCATTTCTCCTCAACTATACATACGAAAGGGAACAGAGTGGTAATATAACATGCTAAAACCAAGTGACCTTTTCGAGCTTGTATCTTATCCTGACTTCGGGGTTGGGCGACTTCATCTTCTTTTTGGCCTTGAGGCGATACCACTTGAGCTGGTTGACCTTGGACTTCTTGGACATCTTCTTCTTCTTCGCTTGCGGCTGATTCTGCCCCCCATTCTGATTCGTGCCCGGATCTCCGACCGAGAAGCGCGCAAAGCCTCCGTCCGTGTTCAGCGTCACCGCCGTGCTCCGGTGCCTTACCGGCGAGAGAAACCACCATCTCCGCGCAGCTCTCGCGCATCCATCAACCCCCAGGGAAGGCCGGAACAGCGGGCAGGGGCGTGGGGGATTTGCGCCGTGGAATCGCATCCAAGGATCGCTGGTTAGGAGGCAATGGATAAATCAAATCCAAGATACAAGATGGCGATGGAGGCATTAACAGGAGGAGTGGCAACGAACCGTGGAGAGCGTAGAGCAACGGCGGGTTGCAGAGCCCGGCGGCCAAGGAGCCGGGGCACGAGGGACGCCATGGCGACTGAGCAGTGAGGCGCTCCGGCCGCCGGACACCCGAGGTGTTCAGTTAAGGGCCAACTGTGTTTGTTTGTGTGTTTGGGCTAGCAGGGCCTGGTTGGTTGGTAAAACCTTGGATGGGCTTATGATGGGCCACACGTCTGCTACACAGAACTTGGGCCGGAGATCGTCGGCCCGAAACTCAAAATTACACTCGGCCACCGTCCGATCACGAATCGGCGGTTGCCCAATCTCCTGCTGCGCAGAGCGGTTGCGGCCCAGCCAGGCCCGCGTTTTGGTGGGACTTTTGTCTCCATCCCTGCCGCCGCTGTCCGTCGTCGTCCAGGTGGGGAATGCCGCGGGGGGACACGAGGCGCATCGCTCGCGTCCCTCCTCCTCGCCCCGCCACGACAGCGCCTCGACCTCGGCGCCTCCCCATCCTCATCAACGCCACGCGCCAAATGCTATCCCCCCGCCGCCTGCCGCTCGTCGCATTGCTCCCCTCTTCGTCCGATCGGTCCGGTGGCCATGGGTACGATTTTCTGCTGCAACTTTTCGATTTCTGTACTTTTACTTTTATCTTCGAGGCACGTCGAGTCCTCGTTGCTCCTTGCTGCAAAGAATTTCGCCGTATTTTTGGGGTTAATTTAAGTGTATGTGCTTTTAGCCTTCCTTTTTGTTTCGTCGTTGTGGTCCGTAATTCGGTTCGACTTAGGGGATCGGCTCTCACGTCATTTTGTAGCAGTTCATGGAATCAGTTTAACTAAATCAGGCACTTTTGATGATTATGTGTGCAGCTACCAGCAGCAGCAACAGCAATCCATTCAGCTTCGCCTTGAGGGGGCTCCGAGACCGCGACGGTGGCAATTGTGGCAGCTACTACAGCATCCCTGACCTAGGCGATCAGCGAATAGGTAAATGCTGGGTTGGACAAAATAGCATTTCACATACAAATTAATAATGCTTCCACGAGAGAACCGGCCGCTAGCTCGGTGGATAGATCTTGCGGTGGTAAACTCGCGCACCCTGCGTTCGAATCCACGCGTGAAATCCACTGAAATGTTTGGACAAAACAGCATTTCACATACAATTAATGCTTCCGCAACCACGCTAACGGTCAAACCGCTTCATACAAATAATGCTTCCACCACGACCACGCTAACGGTCAAACCGGTTTGTTATTCGGACAGTAACACGTTCTTGTATAAACTGCATGAAAATGAATATGCCATAATAAAAGGGGTATAGGTTGGAATAAATCGTCACATGCAAGAATGGCATGCAGGGCCAGGCGCATGTTACATGTGGGCTGTGGCTAATAGTTGTGTAATAATGATATTCTCCAAGTTTTCTGTTTTAGTGTTGGTACCCTAGGCTTTTCTTTTTACAACAATTCCATTGCAGTTTTATTGTAGCAAAACGTCCATTTTTAACCATGAGCTATGGTGCTGGGTCCAACATAAGCTCTGAACTATGAAACCGTCTATGTCAAACACTGAACTTCTAAAATCATTTAAACTGAACCCTTCCTTGGTTTTGTATAATGTTTTCGTAATTTCTGGTTTCCAAAAAATGTAAAACAGTTGATATATGCAGTAAATGTTATGATACTATATCATCCAAAAATATATTTTACGAAATGAGAATAGATAAACAGAGTACTGTTTTGTTACAGAGGACAAATACTCGGATATGTTTGGATGAATATTTGCAGTTTCTCAGTCTTCCATACTTCAAAGCTTTCTGAAGTTTCATAGGTTCAAAACCACCCTAAATATTGTGGGAAGGCTTGAAGGGTGGTTGGTCTCCAAGGGTTACCAATAATCTGAAACAATTCATGCCTAAGGGAAATGCTATAAAGTGAGAACCATCAAAACTGCATCATACAGTATAACTATTTGTGTTCTATACAAAAAAACCACAAGAGATAAAGGAATTTGTCTTTTCATTTTTACACAGGACACATATATTCATACTGTTGATTGAATTTTCGCAGATTATCATTTCAGAGCACTCTCTACCCCTGTGAATTTTATAATTTTTTAAAATCCTATAATACAAAATCAACTATCAAGTATCACGTTATGGCTCAGGTTAAATGGTTTTATAAAGTTCAGTGTTTATTATAAACAGGTTGTATAGTTAAGGGTTGAAGTTGGACCAAACAACATATTTGCAAATATATTGAACATCATAAGAAAATGTTTGTCAAAGCTGCATTTAGGAACGGTGAAGGAAGTACATCACTTATTAGAGTGCTTGGTGATGCCTTCTCCAGATAAACTGCCATACACCATTCGTGTTCTTCTTGAATCTGCGGTGCGTAATTGTGACGAGTTCCAAATAACCAAGGAGGATGTAGAAAAGATCATGGGCTGGGAGAAGACCTCCCTGGAGCAAGTTGAAATCCCATTCAAACCCTCACGTGTGATACTTCAGGTACGTCTGTACAAGGATCTAACATTAGTTGATTTCCCATATAAAACTCTTTGCATGCAGGATTTTCTAATGATACCTTGGCTTAGGATTTTACTGGTGTGCCTGTCCTTGTTGACCTTGCAAGCATGCGCGACGCAATGTCGGAATTAGGTGGCAATCCTGATAAGATTAACCCGATGGTATTAAATTATTTCCTATACTATATTTAGTCAGAGGGTATTTCCTTTCACATATTCTTTGTAGTTAATATACAGTTCCGTATTTCTGCTTTTAGGTTCCAGCAGATCTTGTAATTGATCACTCAGTAACTGCTAATGTGGTGAGGTCACAAAATGCGATACAGGCCAATATGGAACTGGAATTCGAGAGAAACAAGGAACGGTTCGCCTTCCTTAAATGGGGGTCTTCTGCATTTCACAATATGCTTATCATACCTCCTGGTTCTGGTATTGTTCATCAGGTGAAAGGAATAAAATCAAGGGTTCCCTTTTTTTATGTCTGAACTCTTATATTATGTTATCTAGTGTAGGTAAATCTTGAGTATCTTGCCAGAGTTGTTTTCAACAGAGATGGCCTTCTTTATCCCGATAGTGTCCTGGGGACTGATTCCCACACTACAATGATAAATGGACTGGGTGTTGTTGGTTGGGGGGTTGGAGGGATTGATGCTGAGGCAGCTATGCTTGGTCAGGTACATGCTCAAATTCTTTTGGCCTTGACATGTGCTTGCATATGCAATTTCCTGGAAAACAGTATGCTGAGTGATATTTGCCTGTTTCTTTTGCTAGTTTTTCAGTTTGAAACAATTTGTCGCAGGGATCAAATCAAGTATGATGTTTATAATTGTTTGACTATTGCAACTAAAACTATTGCATAAATGGTGCAAGGACCCTGTTTTGCATGTTTTGCCTTGCTCAGATATTCAGTTATCAGCATACTTTTTTAATTCCATTATCACCATACTTAATATAAAAGCATGTCTGTTACTACAGCAGGAATTAAAGTTATTAGCAACCTAGTAATCTGTAATGTGGAACACATAAATTGCTTCCGATCAGAGTCTAGAGACCTCAACTTTCTGACTAACATGGTGGCCATTTGATTCTTCGCAAAGATAGTTCCTTTAGCTGATTCTTCATGTTATGTTCGGACCTCGAACCACCTTCAGGGCAGATAGTTTTATTTGATCAGGAGCACAGGGTTACAAGAGATTAAATTATCAATATAACAATTAACTTTAGTCTAGGTAGTTGTTGGGAACATGTAAATGATCCTGTCAGTCTGTTGCTGCAGTTTTGATGAACATTAAATGTTCAGCGACTACCGAGCCATGAATCGATAGTACATGAGAACAAAAATTTCCCACAAGCTCAGTGAATGCTTTATATATTTACCTCTTCTATATTTTGTCCGCAGCCCATGAGCATGGTATTACCTGCTGTCGTTGGATTCAAGCTACATGGAACACTAAGGGATGGGGTCACAGCAACTGACCTAGTTCTCACGGTTACCCAAATGCTTCGGAAACATGGTGTTGTTGGAAAGTTTGTGGAGTTCTATGGTATTTTACTGTCTGGATCATTGGCAGATATCCTTTGTCCTGTCACAAACAGTTAGCGGCTATTATCAGGAACTTAGCTTTGTTACTGTGTAAGTGTAGGCCGAGGTATGGAAGAGCTTGCATTGGCTGATAGAGCAACAATTGCAAATATGGCACCAGAGTATGGAGCAACTGTTGGTTTCTTTCCAGTTGACCATATCACCTTAGAATATCTTAAAATGACTGGAAGAGAAGATGAAACTGTGAGTATAATGGTTGTTTGTTCTTTCAAAATGACTTTGCTACATATACATTACTATGCTTTGCAGATGCTGTTTGGAACAAAAACGTACACTAGTATATCCATGTCCTGATGGTTAACATAATTTCTACTGAGAACTACATTCTTATTCGGTAATGCTGAATGCTTTGACCATGTAGGTATCAACAATAGAGGCATATCTACGTGCAAACAAAATGTTTGTGGATTACAATGAAGTAAGTTTAATTCTTCACTGTTATCAATATAGTGAACACCATGCAGGAATATTGACTGCGTATTCCATTATGATTTTAGCCTAAAATAGAACCGACATATTCATCATACATAGAATTGGATCTGGGAGATGTTGAGCCATGTATTTCTGGTCCGAAGAGGTAATTTATCCTGTTATGTTGTGGTATACTTCCATTCTCTTGCATGGTTTTAATACAAGCTCTTCTTGCAGACCTCATGATCGAGTCACCTTAAAAGACATGAAGACAGACTGGCATGCATGTCTGGAAAATAAAATTGGTTTCAAGGTGCGGAGATCATCAGACAAATAAAATTTGTTTGCTCATACTAATTGAAGGAATCTTGATGCCTAGATTATATATTTAAGTCTATTCCAAGTGGTTGAGGTGTTGTGCAAGAGAGCAAACATAATATATCAAAACTTACGTTAGACGTTAGTTACAGCCTATAAGTGTGCCTCTTGTCCTGTCTTCGCAAACAAATTCCAGAATTCTGGTCTCAAGTCTGTATTCATAAAAAGTTCATGGGCTGTGCTGATACATTTTAAAATTACCAATTTTGCTCATTTTCCAATAGCTTCATGCGCTGACTAACATCCATGGTATTTTTAGGTCATAAGATATGTTGAGTGTGTTTGCTTTACCTAATGTAACTATTCTCTTGAGAAGACAGAAGCAAGGATGATTCATTCTATTTATTTCGGGGTTATGGTATCCCAAAAGATTTGCAAAATAGAGTTGTGAAGTTTGATTTTCATGGGCGAACTGCAGAGCTTAAACATGGGACTGTTGTCATAGCTGCTATCACAAGCTGCACAAACACCTCAAACCCCACCGTTATGATTGCTTCTGGGTTGGTTGCAAAGAAAGCTTACGAGTTGGGCCTCGAGGTCAGCACTTGGTTAATTATGGTCAATAGTTTATAGTTACTGTAGGTGTGCATCTTCCTTCTCTGCCCTTTTGGCTAGCCAGGGTACTCAATTGCCTACTTCTGTTTGGTAAGGTCAAACCATGGATTAAAACAAGTCTTGCCCCTGGGTCAGGAGTTGTTACCAAATATCTGCTTAGGAGGTATGTTTCTACATGTCACTTAATTCATCATATGCCCCTTATTGTTGTTCCTGCAATCCGGCCTGGATGCAATTATGTATTGTAACCTCCAAACATACTGATCATGGATGCAATATAACATTTTCAGTGGTTTGCTGAAGTACTTGAGCGACCTGGGTTTCAATCTAGTTGGGTATGGCTGTACTACCTGTATCGGAAATTCAGGTGATCTTGATCAAATCGTTGCAGATGAAATTACAGAAAATGGTATTATCTTCTTGCATGTGCCTCTTCACTCCTTTCAAAGTATCATATTGAAGACACTAGAATAATTTTTTATCTTTTTGTTAGACATCATCGTGGCTGCTGTTCTTTCTGGAAACCGTAACTTTGAAGGGCGGATACATCCATTAACTCAAGCTAATTATCTTGCTTCTCCTCCTCTAGTCGTTGTATATGCTCTTGCTGGCACGTAAGTGGAAATATTGTAAATGTTTGCAATGATGCTTTCCAGCTAACGTAAAAATATGTAACTTATAGGGTATTTTGTTATGTATGTTTTGCTATTAATATCCATTAGCATAGTGGTTGTTTTGTATAGTTAAATCATGTTGCCAATTAGAAACTGTGATAATAGAAGAAGAAAAGTGGATCCTGTTCCCCAAAACGTATGGATTCTTATGTTTAGAGTGTCGTGTTTAGGTTGATATCAATTTTGAAGAGGAGCCAATTGGAACTGGAAAGGGCAACAGACCAATTTTCCTAAGGGACATCTGGCCATCTAGCGAGGAAGTATCAGAAGTAAGTTTTCTTGGAAAGCAATTGATGCACATCACATTGAAAAGGTTGAATAGGCAGCATTCACATATGCACCTTTGCACAAACAAGATTCAATTTAGCAATGGAGCTGCACTCCTGTTGGACATTGGCACTTCTAACTGTTAGAGACACACTCGGGTATCACCCTTATACACACGGGTGCTACCCTTGTACTATATATATACAAGAGGTGGAATACCACAAATATCCTAACACACACAGACACACACAACATATCCAGACACACTTGGGTATCACCCTCATACGCACGGGTACTGCCCTCACTACGTCTAACACAAACGACATACATGAACTTATTCAATGGTGATTCTAATTGTTGTGTGCTGACAATGCAAATCACAGATTGTGCATTCCAATGTCTTGGTTGATATGTTCAAAAGTACTTATGAGGTAATCACGAAAGGCAATCCCATGTGGAACCAACTGGTGGTTCCAACTGCAGATGTTTACTCTTGGGATCCTAATTCAACCTACATTCGTGAGCCTCCTTTCTTCAAAGGCATGAGTATGGATCCACCTGGGCCTCATAGTATAAAGGATGCCTACTGCTTGTTGAGCTTTGGTGACTGTGTAACGACAGATCATATTTCACCAGCTGGGAGCATTCACAAGGATAGCCCAGCTGCCAAGTATCTCGTTGGCCATTCTGTGAAGCACAGGGATTTTAATTCGTATGGCAGCCGTCGCGGAAACTATGAAGTAATGATGAGGGGAACCTTCGGCAATATTAGGATTGTCAACAAGCTTTTGGACGGTGAACCTGGACCAAAAACAATTCACATTCCAACAAGAGAGAAGCTTTATGTCTATGATGCTGCCATGGTTAGTTCCTTTGCACAAAAAGACTGGTCTTGGTTTTTTCCACTGTCCATAATTCCCATATTCATGAATTAGTTGATGGCTATTTCTCCTGCTGCAAAAAATTTTAGAACTTTCTATTTGTGAAAAAGAGCAGTTGTGCTACTCATGTTTCTTCTTTTCTCCATACTATTGATAGAGGTATAAGAATGATGGGCAAGACACAATTGTATTGGCGGGTTCTGAATATGGGACTGGAAGTTCGAGGGACTGGGATGCAAAAGGCACTATGTTGCTGGTAAATATTTTAGTACGGAAGTTTCCTGCCTTGCACGTCCTCACTTTGTAGGCTCATGGAATAATGTGTCGCCGCAGGGAGTTAAGGCTGTAATTGCCAAAAGTTTCGAAAGAATCCATCGAAGCAATTTAGTCGGGATGGGTGTAATTCCTCTGTGCTTCAAGTCTGGAGAAGATATGGACTCAATTGGTTTGACTGGACAAGAACAATACACTATTCATCTTCCAAGCAGTATTCATGAAATGCAGCCCGGCCAGGATATTGTTGTTACCACAAGCACACGAAAATCGTTTACGTGTACGCTTCGCTTTGACACAGAGGTAAATGGAACCTTTACTTATTACTCCTTCCGTTTCCCTGAAAGCTGTAATATTAGACATAGATATGATCTCTAAAACACAACTTTTACTAACAAAATATCATAATATATTTATTAAATCCAATAACAAATTACAAAGTACTTCTCAGAATATACTGCATATAATTTTCAAGTATCTAATCCTCTAGGAGCCTTTAATTTTCTGTAAACTAATTTCCTTTTAAGGATGCTAACTAGTGCTGCTTCTGTATGTAAGGAATGTGAAATTGAGAAGTAAATTATTTCATATATATTCTGGAGTTGTTCCTGTACTGAAAATACTTCATGCCATCTAAAACCAACCTTCTCTCTTTTGCTGCATCTATTTGTGCCGTATTATTGACGCCACATTAGGTTGACGTTTGATCATATAAAAGATATGAGATAAACATAACTCAGGAAATTCTTGAAATATATTATGAAACTATAGAATATATTTATAAGAAATGTACAAAATAAAAAAAACTGTTTAAATCTATATTTTTAATATCATGTGAGAATTTATGCTGACAACCAACAACAACAACAACAACAACAAGCTTTCAGTCCCAAACAAGTTGGGTGGAAAACCTAAAAGATCTCGAAACCTAGTCATGGTTCTGGTACGTGGATAGCTAACTTTCATGCACCCCTATCCATGGCTATTCTTTGGTGATATTCCAGTCCTTCAGGTCCCTGTTTATGGACTCCTCCCATGTCAAGTTTTGTCTATCCTGAGCCGGTCCCAAGCCCAGATAAAGGAGGAGAGTTGTGATAGGCTTGGCGAGCCAACATCAAAATTCAGCCACTATTATGGAGATGAAACCCCAAAGAACTTCGTGTGAGAATTTATGCTAACGAAAAAATACTTCAATCTTCCTGAGCTTTAATGCAATGTCTTCAACATTTCCTTATTTATAACATCTTAGGATGCAGTAGAACGTTGATTTTTGTATGATCAAATTTCATTTCTAATGAAATATGCATAGTTTAGTAGACAGGCTGTATGATATGGCTTTATTTTTATTATATATAATTTCTTCAAGTAGTATGCATACAGAATTTAAGGTTTTTCCTTAAACATGATTTTGCAGGTGGAACTGTCTTACTTTGATCATGGGAGAATACTACAATACGTTATGCGAAAACTTATCAATTCAGCACGTTAGTATCTTGGAGAGCACGTTTGCATTGGAAATTAAAGCATGAGGTCCAGAACTTTCTTCTTTTGGCGTTTCCTTGTATATATTAATTATGTCCTGTAGTACGAATTTTATGATGCTTTTTATCTTAGCTTTGAAATAAGGAGATTACAATAAACAACCGATGTTCAAGCATGATTTGTATGTATCTGACTATCCTTTAGCATGCATGTGAGATCGGATAACAAAGAATACGTCACATGCTAATACTCAATATGTTCATTTGCAGGTTCTTATTTATTTGACTTTACAACTGGACCATATTAATGAATATTATAATAGAATTATGTTTTTGCATTATGCAGCAGTTTTTAGAAATCAGTAAGAATGTATATATGCTGTCCATTGGTCGATAAATCAAGTGTACTAGTCTTTAAAAATGATATAGTCTGGAATTGATTTACTGCAAGCACGATTCTACTATTTGGAAACTTTAGTCTGGAACTAATTCTGATCCATAGACGCAAAATAAAATTTACTATTCAATCTTTACTAGTATATATAGTATTCTTAGTGTGTCATGGTGGCGAATTTACCTGTGTTCACATGACATATTTTCTGCTGGGTATTGTTGGGAAGTATAGCTTTGGAGAGACATTATATAATATTGTTGTGAAAGTACAAGATTCTCTCAAGATACATGCCTACAGAATGGCTTTATTTATTCCTGCTTTTCCCTAAAACACACAAAAGGTATGTGTTTGTTCTATTCCTTTTCTGGAGCCACGGCATTGAGGTCAATGTCAAATGGCCTGCGCCTACCTCCATCTGCAAGGGGCGGCGCTATCGATGGAGAGCCACCATCCTTATTCTCAGTGTGCTGCCTCTTGGAGGACCCTCCAGCCTCCTGCCTGGATAGCCACCCCTGGTTGAACAGCTTGGTGTAGCGTTCCATAAGCAGTTCTCTGGTGGACATGAACATGCCGCCACCTTGCCTGGGTTCCTCACCGCCACCTTTGGTTTCCTGCCTGTTCGGGTTCTGGCCTTTCTGGCTCTGATGTGCCTCCCATGCTGGTTTCATGCTGCTGGTTACCAGCCTGTTTAGGCTCCGGTCTATCTGGTTCTGATGTGCCTCCCATGTTGCTGCTGCTTGCTCATTCTGGGCCTGGATCCTCTTGTCCTTGTTGTGCGCAGCCATGTGCCCGCCCAGAGCTTGATGTGTGGGGAATTCTGCCTTGCATTGCTTGCATGTGTAAGAACGCTTGACCGTACTTGCACTGGGCACCTTCTCCTTTCTACGTGCCTCTGTGCTTTCTTTGGACTTCTTCCTCCCCTTCTTCCTTGGTACCTCGACATTGCCATGTTCGTTGCGAACTACCACATCTCCTTCCATCACTGCAACAGAACCGTGGTGCTCGTTTGGGAGCACCACGTCATCTCCTGCCATCTTTGCAAGGGAACTGCCTTGTTCGCTACGGTGCACCGCATCATCTCCTGGCATCTCAGCAACTGAGGTGCCATGTTTATCACCGAGCATGACATCATCTCCTGCCATCTCTGCAAGGGAACTGCCTTGTTCGCTACGGTGCACCACGTCATCTCCTGCCATCACTGCAGCAGAACCGTGGTGCTCGTTCGGGAGCACCACGTCAGCTCCTGCCATCTCCGCAAGGGAACTGCCTTGTTCGCTACGGTAGACCGCATCATCTCCTGGCATCTCAGC